CTAAAAATTTAAAAATTACCTAAAGTAATAACTATGCTGAAAAATAGTAAAGAAATTATTTAAAAAAAAATAAACATGTACCTTTCTTTAAATGCAGTTCGAAGAGTAAATAGAAAATTTTTAGAACAGTTATTTGAAAGAAACACCACAAACTTAAACGATTAAAATGAATTCGAAAAGAAAAAATTATTTAAAAATAATAACCGTTAAAATTAAAAATATAATAAGAAGAACATTATTTTGAAAGAAAGAATGATATGACTTTTTTCCACTCAAGCAAAATGTGAAAAGGGAAAGGAAAATAGGTTGCCATATATTAAGAAGTTCGCCGAGTGAACTATTCTTGGTGCAAACTGGAAAAAAAAAAGCAGCAAGATAAATTTTTGAATTTCTCCATAAATTCCGCACCAATTTTACAGAATTTAATATTTAGGCATAATTTGAGTTGTAGAATCGAAATGTATAAAAAAATTGGTATTTTGCTTCAGAAAAAGTCCAATTTTTTGTCAAAATACCTATGGTGGAATAGTACTATATATAAATCGGTTAGAGTTGACTTTAGGGTACCCCTTGTATCATCACGAAATTGTTTCATTTATCACCAAGTTGTTGTTCCGTTTATTACGTAGTTGTTTCATTTATGTTAACCTGAGTAGTTGAATGTTATGGAAACCCTATTGTGATGTAATCGTTTGCATCATTTTGGGAAATTTTGAATCATGGGATGTTTGTAAGGGCTTTTGTGTGTGTGGTTAGGAATACATTGCTTGTTTCATTGTTTAAGGTAGAATGGCTAAATGTAGTAAGATTAATTTGAAGTTTCTGTACAATTTGGAACGAAAGGGGGAAAGTGCATTGATTGACTGGTGTGTAAATGAAGGTTTACTTAGTAGCCATTTTCGGGTCAGTCCGGAATGCGTAGGATATTTTTTACTCTTATTTTTGTGAATTTATGTGGCTCTGCTGATATACAGATTTTAGTTCAGATAATTTTAGGAAGTTTTTGGGTGTTGTTAAGGAATTTTGTGTGCAACAGAGGTAAGTGGATATTTTGCTTTGTGTAATGCTTAATGCATAACCTTTTTTATGTTATTTTATTGTTTGGTTTAAAATGTAGTTCATTGAGATTATGTATTTTTTGTTTGGCTCTACTATAGAATTGAGTGCTTCTTTGACTTTTTAAGTGAAAATATATCAATGTGTACATGGACAAACTGAAGGGAGTGCGCAAAGCCTAGTTTGTGCAATTCTCTGATGTTTTTTAAAGTGAAAATAGGTCAATGTGTACATGGATGCCGAGTTTGTGCAATTCTTTGTCTTGTTATTTTGGCTCGCTACGCAAGCCAAAATAACAAGACAAAGACTTGCACAAATTTGGTTTCCATGTACTGCCAAAAATCCTCAAGTTTTGCTAAGGGGTTCCCTAAAATATACTTTTACCTATAAATCTAATATATATATAATATATATATATATCGCGCTTTCGAGACATGAAGAGCGCAATTTGAATTTTGCCAATCGGCCCAGTAGAACGGGAGATATAGAACTGTTCCCCCCTTTTTTCACAGTGTACATATATGTGTGTGATATGCACATACATACATTTCTGAATCTGGTTCTGATAAGAATACCGAAAGTTCCATACATGAGGGGAAGAAAAATGAAATCAGAATAATTAACATACCAAAGCATAAATCTGTTTTGTGTGGAAAGGAATAACGAAATGGCCTGTCCAAGATAAAAATGTTGCAAACTGGATGCTAGAATATTGCCAGAATTGATTAATTTAGCAAGAAACAGCATATGTTTATTTGCCTGAAAATGGACCAAAAAAATAATGCAAATGGAAGTGAAAACTTCAAAGCAACTTTGAGTTTGTGTAGTTGATTTAAGGTACAGAATGATTTAGTTCTAAAAGAAAAAAAATGCAAGTTTCACAAAGGCTTTTGAAAGATTTGGAGGTACTCTTCTGTTCTTGGATTTAGAAATGTATGTATATATGCTTGTAAGTGTGGGCCTACATATGCATACGTGTGTATACATACACACATATATGCATGTACAATATATGCATGCATTTCTGAATATGGTTTCAATAACAGAAGAATACTGATTTGGACAGTTTCCAGAATTATGTTATTGACCTAAAATAGTAAAAATAATTTACTGTCGTATGTCAGAAATCTAGATGAAACTTCAATAATGTTTCACATGATAGGGAATTAAACAATTGGTGGGAAAAGAACAAAAGAGGTTCACGTAAAAGCAATACGCCACGAAAAATCTAACTACACTATAGTGCTTTCCTGCTTACCAGATGGTATGAAATTAAAACTGGTTATTTTCAAAAGGGGGGGGAAGAAAGAAAGAAAGAAAGTTGATGCCGAAACGTGATTTCACAAATGAATTCATTTCTCATGAATGTGTGTTCATGTTCACGACAAAGGATGGATGGACAAAAAGGGTGCAAAAGTGCGGATAAAAAATGTTGGGGAAATGCATCCTGTTTCCTTAAAGAATCCAGAAAGTCGTTTAGTTTGGGGCATGTTCAGATTCCATCTAATGGATAATATGAAGAAATTGTTGAAAAACATAGTCATAACACTATAGCACTATGACTCCAGGTGAATGCCATTAGTTCACATTCCTTTAGATGCGTGTATCAATAAACGATTCAAAGAACATTTAAGATGATAGTGGAATATGTGGATGTTAGGAGGTGAAAAATCATTTATGAAAAGAGGTCAGATACATAATACCAGTCTAGAAATAGTGTATGAGTGGATTATAAAAAGTGGAATGAAATTAATTCTGACATAATTCAAAAGTCATTTAAAAAATGTAGTATATCTAACAATCTAAATGGAGCAGAAGATAATTATTTATTTATGGATTAGAGAACAGTGATGGTGAAGATGAAACAGAATTTATTGATGTGCCCAAAGACATAATGGAAAATGAATGTGACGATGTGTGTTTTCATGTTATGCAATAGTGAAAGTTTTTAAGTTCTCATAAGGTATACCATTTCTTTTAAATCATTTAGGTACAATTAGAAATCTAATTTTTCAATGCTCATCTTTTTCCTTATTTTTAAGTCTTCTCATTTTCATATCCAGCCTATAATGTACAACCATAAATTTGGATCTTATTTTTTGTATTCAAAATGTGTGCCATACACCAAAATGTATGGTAACTATTCCAGGGTTCGTAGCGGTCCTTACAAGTGCTTATAAGTCCTTATATTTGAAAATCAAATATAAAGGCCCTTATAGGTGCTTACTTTTGCTTTAAAGCCCTTATTTTTTTTGTTTTTATGGCTTATTTTTTTTTGCTTTAATAGTGCTTTCTTTTAATGAACCGCATTTTCCATACCAAAGCGTAACTAAATAAACAACTTTTCTTCCGTGGAACGTCAGATGGTGAATCATACTCCCGGAAATAGCTTTCCCCTTTCTCCTCATGCGTTTAAAAACCTAGGTGCGTGGAGAGTACTACCGGTGCATCGTTTTTGATCAAAGAATTGCAAACCGTAGAAAATTCGTACATTTGGTATTCCTCCCCACCCAATACTACACATGTTTGAATTTATCAAGATTTTATAGTTTGCATTCCTTGTCACGTGGTCCGTTTCATATTTTGTTATTATGATCGTATGCTATATTATGAGCATATGTATGAATATTATAATATGATGTGCAGTGTTGATAACTTCCAAAATGGGTTTATTTTTACACAGATTAAGCTTTCTAAGGAATCATATTCGGAATGCTTAAATAACGAAGTTCGATAGTCAAATCCCCCTCCCCAACATTATACGTACGGAGTTTGGGAGGTTCTCCCTCCTCCCTCCTCTTTTTCTGATTTCCGCAAATTTGATGTTTTTGGCGGTCTACTAATCCCCAACCCAGCGAAGATGATTCTATTCCATAAATTTAATGGCAGTAGTTCAAATTAAATCAAAACACCCCTATTAGTAGTCCTTTTCGTTTCCTTTATTTAGTTCTTTTTATTCTCCGATACCGCAGCTGTTGATGTCTCCGATTGCGTACTTCACGTACGAGATTATGCCGCACTAGGCGGTCAATAAACGTTGCGTATTTTGCAGAGATAGTAATTTTGATGTTCAGTTGAGATTTATTTATGACACTTAAAATACTTTTACTGTGCTTCTAGCATAATTTCTTTCTCGTTCCGTTGGCTATTTTTTTATGATGCACATATCGAAATGTCAAAATCATTTATTAGGCTGAGAAATCTAAGAACGCTGCATCTTCCCCCCTCTCCTCTTTTTTCCAGTTACGCTCGACTATACGAATATTCGGGCAATTTCTGAGTCTGCGGGTTCGTAAGCTTTTTACGTTTAAAAGATGACTGACTGCATGAGCAATTTCCCGTCTCCTGATTCAGAAATGTTTCCTCTTTTTTACTTAAAATTACTTTTCCTTGTAGTATATGTTAGGAAGCTGTTATGCATGAAAATTTAGAAATGTTTCAAATTGATTTAAGTTAATTATTAAAACATTATGAATGGAAAAATAATTGTAGTTATTATTAGGTGCCAGCGAATGCATTAATCTGGCTATTATTATTTGTTTTCTATATTTTGAACTGAATTTCACATTAAATCTGTAATTAGTTTAGTTCGCATAGTTTTTTTTCTCTTATTGTAACTAATTCTGAAATTGAACGTCATTTAAAATTAAAAAAAAAAAAAAAAATTATTTTTCCATGTTGAGGTAATGCTCATTTCTTAATAAATATTCATTTCTCATATTTTAAATTGCAGCCTATTTTTCTTTTAAGGTTATGCATTGTGTAGATTAATTAGACAGTGCTTATTTTTTTAACTAAAATGTGGCTACGAACCCTGTATTCAATCTATTCAATTTATTCATTATGTGATTAAATGAAACTTTTGAATCCAAATTTACTCTGATATTTTGTGCTTTTTACTGACTTAACTGTATTGTATATCTTTGTGCTCTTTTTAATTTCAGAAATTGAATTCTACTATAATTTATGATAGAGATTTTAGCTACAATTATTTGGTTTAAGTAACCTTTATTTGTGTGTTTTGTTAGTGTTGTCTTGATTATAATAATTAAAAATCTTTTATTATGAAAGACTTGCTATTTATCGGTAACATTCTGATTTCCCCATAATCAATAAAAGTGGTTCTATAAGTATATTTTTTGATTATTTGTTACTTACAAGTTACTATTTATGATATTGTCATAAAATCTCTTATTCAAAAAAATATATACTGTTTAAAATAGATTATTACTGCAAATATTTTTCAGTATGTTTGTGCATTCCCTCACCATGTGGTTACTCCATTAAAAACATGATTAATGCAGGGTGTTTTAAAAATCTTTATATTAATCAATTTTATTTATGCTGTTAAAAACTCAGCTTTGTTCTAAAAACTTATTGTTTGATTGAAATCATTTACATGTATAACTTAATATCTGCAAAATTACCTTCAATTATTCTGAAGTTGCATCCTCTAAAATAATATTTTTGCCCCCCCCCTCTCTTCCTTTTTTATTTTATTTTTTTTTATATGTTATTTTTTTTTTTTAAATTTCTGAAATTATTTTATGTCATATTTTTTTAGTATATATTCAATGGAAAGCTATTAACACATTTTGAACTATATACTATTTGCACTTCTTGTGAACACTGTTGTGGTTTTAATTGTTGTACTGTTTCTAATTTAATATGAATAATGCAACAAATAAACTTTTAAAGAATTTAAATTTCTTCTTTATGTAATTTTTTGTGATTTATATTTTTTAAATGCTGTCAGAGTCTGAAATATATACAATGATGGGGGGAAAATAATCCTAACACCAAGAAAAAATTATTGTATAGTAATGAAATTTCAACAGTGCATTTGTCTAGGTAACATACTTAATAGATTATTAAAGTTTCAAAACCGCAGGTTAATGCTGGCACGAGAAGAGCCGTTTCAAATGCGAAATGCTGATACATTGATAACCGGTGTAAACTGCTAGAATTTTGAATGCAAGCAAGCAAACGCATATCCATTCTGTTGTACAGATGTCAGTTTGTGGGACGGAGTTCCATACCTATTGCACTTGGTCAGTCAGTACAGGGACGTCTAATGTTGGCTGTGGAAGACATTGGAGTTGTCCAATGATGTCCATACATGCTCGACTGGAGAAAGATCTGGTGGTCTAGTAGGCCAAGTTAATATGTCAACATTCTGTAGAGCATGTTAGGTTACAACAGTGTATGAGGGCATTATCCTGCTAGAAAACATCCTCTTGAATGCTGTTCATGAGTGGCAGCAGAATCACCAGACTAGTGTTCAAATTTTCGTTCAGGGCGTGTGGGACAAGAAGAGTGCTCCTGCTGTCATATGAAATTTCTCCCCAGTCCATAACTCCAAATTTAGGTCCAGTGTGTTTAGAATGCAGACAGGTTGGTTGCAGGCACTCACCTGGCCTCCTTCTAACCAACACACAGCCATCACTGGCACCAAGGCGGAACTGGCTTTCATCAGAAAGCAGAACAGATTTCCACTCCGCCCTCCAATGAGCTCTAGCTTGACGCCACTGATGTCGCAAATGGCAATGGTTTGGAGTCAGTGAAATACACACTACAGAGCATCTAGCTCGGAGATGTCCTTTAAGTAATAGATTTATAACAGTTCATTGTGTCACTGTGGTGCCAACTGCAGCTTGAATTTCTGCTGCTGACGCAGTATGATGCACCACAACTATACACTGAACATGACGGTCTTTCTTCTCAGTGGCCGTGCGGAACCCAGTTTTCTTGAGCCGGTACCTTTCCTTGACTACTGCTGCCAACATCCATGCACAATGGATACATTCCTGTCAAGTCTTTCTGCAATATGGCAGAAAGAAAAATCTGCCTCCGCATAGCCCTATTACATGACCTTCTCCGAACTCACTGAGCTGTTGATAATGGTTTCTTTGTCTTCTTAAAGGCATTCTTGATTAATATCAACTCAATATGTCAAATCTCAATGATAAATAATGCTCACAAACTTTACAGTGCATATTTAAAGCAAGCCTGATTTGCACATTCATAGTAAATGCATAGTAATAGCACAAAATTTGAATAGACATCATCTGTCAGAAGTATAAATATACCTACCAAATTTTGTTGATCTAACACAACTACTTGATGTTGGGATTCCCCCCCCCCCAGATTTGTAATTTATAATATTCAAACAAATGAATGCCCATTTAATTGCTGCACTTTTATTTTAGACATTGGAGAGGTCTTATTTACTAAAAATAAATGGAAAAGGTAAGTACTTCTTTTTTACTTGCTTCATTGATTATATTCCTTCTCTATTATTGTTCGTATCTTATAAAAATTAGGAGAAATTCCGATTTTATTACTGTAGTGTCGCATCTGATCAGTATTTGTTCAACAGAATCAGTTGGTTTGTATAAAATTTAAACTGTGGTTCTGTAATAATCTTCATGCTTCAGAAATGTTTAAGAGTTTGTTTCTGTAATATAGTTATTCTTATATAAGCTGTTTTGTAATATGAATTTATTTTTAGTGTTGCACATTCTTCATTTGAGTTATGACACTGCATCAAATGAAAATCATCTTCATTGTTGATGAATGTGAAATATTATTAATTTTATATGTATTATGATGAAAAGTTTGGCTAATTCTTGGTGTTGAGAGATAGTTTAAAAAGGTTTGTTAGTGGTTTTGAAGGAAAATAATCCTTTTACATGTCATGTCAGATTTTAAATTTAAGTAGAGCAATTTGAAAATGTGGTATTCCTTTATAAATAATAATTATAATTAAGGTTTTCAGTTTGTTCTGTTTGTAAGTAACTGACTGAATTAACAACCATATTGCAGAAGAGTTTTTAATTCATTAACAGATTTCAGAATGGTCATTTAGTTCCTGGAGGAGGAGTTGTAAATAAGTTTTAGAACCGCTTTTGTAACTTACTTCACTTGTTTGATGTAACGTCACAAGAAATACAAGAATTTTATCGTGCCGAGAAGCACAGGAATGCATCTATCATCGGCATGAGCTTTATAGGTGACAGTATGGCTTTTCTGAGCTCTGTCCCAGTTTTTAAGTAGAATTTCCCAAAGAATGGATTTCATCAGGGGTCTCCCATCCCTTTTCTCCTACCACCAAGCCATGGAAAACACTTTTCAGCCTGCCACATATTTTATGTGTTGCCATGCCATAGAGGGATGAACTTAGAGAGAAGGATTCTCTAGAACAGGGGTTCTCAACCGGTGGTGCGTGTACCACTGGTGGTACGCAAAGAAGCAATGTTTTTTTAACTATTAAATTCAAAAATTAAAACCCCAACATCTTGATTGAGATTTTTTTCTCTAACACTTGTAAATTTATGCGATCTAACATTGTTCAAGAGTGGTGGTGACAGTAATACTTTGTAATGGTGGTATTAAAGGTTTTCAACTTTTGTTTAGATGTTACACGTTAGTCAAAAGGTTGAGAACCCAGTGTCTCTAATTACTATGCAAATCAAGATAGCTAAGAATTTCTTATATTGATAAATGCTATTTATACATTTTTGCTGTTTGTTATAACTTGATTATGTGAAACTGTCTTTTGTGATAAAGGAACTGAAAGCACAAATAAAATGTGGAAAAGTTAATTAAGGACAATGAAAAATGCAATAAATTGTCAAAAGTATGCAAAAACATACTAAAATAAGAAAAGTATCTGTAACACAAAACTGTGTGAGAACAGTTTTGCTGCTTAGTAGTTTTGCCCCCTACTTTATACAAGTAGAACTTTTGTGTACAGTGCGATTTGCCCGCATGGTGGTGCAGGCATCATCTTTTCAAAGCTCGCATTTTTTATTCAAAGATAGCAATTGCTTTTAAATTTTAATAGATTTAAATGGGTCATTGAGGCTTTGTAGAACAAACTTTGATTTTGTTTTCTTTTAGTGCTTTGATTCATTGTGAAACTTTTGTTTACAGTGTGTTTTGTTTCGTTACAATTTTGTATTACAGTTCTGAAAGTTTTGTTTAGGAATTACTATAGTAATTTGAATAAAATTACTATACTTCTATTAGCTTATGGAGAATAATTAATAACTGAGCTTTTCAAGTTTTATTTTATGTAGTTTACATTTTCAAATTTTCGTGTAATTTTGAAAATGATGGCAATAGTAGCAGGGTCTGTGGAAAGAAACAAGATATTGTTACGAGGATTATGATGTGGGACTTTGTATTTCACCCAGTTTTTAAAATATATCATACCAAGTTGAATTATTTATTACCTTGCATGCAGAAATTTCAAGATGTATAATGCATATGAAATATCAAGTTGTGGAAAATAAGTTTACTATTCATACAGCCTTTGAAAAAAGCCAGCATTAAAGATTAATGATAATTATGATTTTATCTATATGTGTGCAGGATATCAAAATATGAAGAAAAATTTGTTACCAAATTAATTAGAATGGTCCTTTAAATTGTAAATTTTAATTGCATTCAGCCTCTCTTCCAGGCTGCACATTGTACCATATTACATCATGCTTTCAGTACAGTAACCACAGTGTGAAATCTTTTGGCTAATTGCTGCTCAGGATTAATCCATTCCAGCACGCTACCTTTTAAAGTCGGAGTTTTGATTAAAAAAAAAAAAGGTAGTCAGTCTAATTAGGCCTAGAGGAGGACACAAGTAAAATTTTGTGAAGATAGCTTATCGTTTTAATTCTGTGAGTGTGCCCAAAGTGGCACATTGATTGAATAGACTTCGAAAGAGCATTTTTGTTGCAATGAAAGATGATGAATGCGGAGAACAAAGAATACAGACTCCAGGTTTCCCTAGATTATCGGTGAGCCCCGTTCTGGGACACCTAGAGTTCGCCGTTTGATTTTAGGCAAAATTTCAAGTTAAATTTTAAAACTAATGTAAATAAGGACCTTAGCGTAAGCCAAAAAATGAAATAAATTTCTTTTCAAAACATTTCTTTATCCCTAAAAAAATCTGAAGATTTCAATTGAAAAAAAGAGGGTCCTTAACAAACTAACATGGCTA